TGCTTTCGAAACATGCATTCGACAACAGCTTGAAAACTAGCTGTCTGTTAGTATTTTTGGATAGTTATATTGATAGGAGAGTTGGCTACTGATGTGGGTGAGGTGAGTTTGGCGACATGGCTTAAAACCAGCAAATACCTCAAAACCCCTAAGAGCCATCTAAGAGGGCGCCTACTTCCAGTTCCTGGTATTATACGAGTGTCTCTCTCAAGGGGTGTCTATTTCCAGGTTCAGAAAGCCATGTATTACCATGAAGGTGTAGAGCAATATTTTCAACGATATTCCTACTATCAGCCGTATTGTCGATGGCTTACCGGTTCGTAGTTATTTGTTTGAAGACTCCTCCATAATTACAAAAACCTTCGGTGGGTTTCGATGTTGGCCGTAATAGAGGCTGTTTAACTGTGGTTGTCTGAGCGCCCTTACTGAGTCTCTGAAGCTATGCAGAAGGGACCTACAGCCCTGTATTCAAGTGCACATTGGACCTCCGTTCATGGTCAAATACCGATTGTTGTTCTAGTGGGTTGCTGCCACATACTGGCACGGGGCCAGGGAGTTTGACTGACCGGCGGCGGGCCTAACTCCAGTACATGGTTGGCTGTCGTCCTTTCTGGGATCAACAACCGCAGTATAGTTCAGGATTCCATCGTTCTGCAGGACACCTTAAAAACACGCCCTCTAAGGGATGCTGCGGTAATTTGTAGGGCTAGCAAGAGTAGAGTGACTATTGTGCGTTTTGGTTCCCAATGGGTTTGCGCTTCTAAGCCGACGGGTCGGAATAAGTTGCTTGGAGTTTTAGGATGTCTATGATGATGCTTATTTTTGCGTTACGAAGTGACATGCGACTCCAGTCGTGCGGTTCTGTCATCGAAATATGTGGACATGGACGTAATATTGGAGCACAGAATATGTATTCGGGTCTTTAGATGTAGCATGCTCGATGGCTCTAATACCAATGTTTATGTCAGTAAAACAAATCTGAGTGACAGTAATCAATATTAATCTTCATTCAGTAGAATTAACATTTGGTGTTACTTGCAATAAAAATGCGGACAAAATCATACGAAGAAATCACTCATCTTAAATTAATACCCAATTTGAACATAAAACAAGAACAAGATACGATACCGCACACAACAAAGTTATATGGAGGAAGTGACTTCAAGCTTTATATTTCCCAAGTATTTGTAATCCATCCAACACATGCTTGGGTTATTTTTGTTAATGCGAAGACAGTATTTTCATATTTCTTAATGTGCTCCATTGAATGACTAGTTGGCAGACTGGTCTCACAAACTAAAGACAAAATGGATAACGAACATGTAATTTCACCATAAACTAAAGTTATATAATTTAAATAATACTTGTCCATGCCTGCACAACCGGTGTGTCCTACTTAGATAGGAATATATATATATATATCATATTGCTGTAAAGATAGTGCATAAATATCATGTGTGGTTTTCCCGATAATTGTACTGTACAGTATACTACAGTCACAGTTCAGACCTTGTCTTTCGATATTTACGCAGCTCAGTGAATCAGGAGGTACAACGGACGAATAGGCGTATTAACGCACCGATTGAGTGCATTACCGTCAATAATGACAACACATATAGAACACAAGGAGCATTACGGACTAACATACTCCTTATGGGTTGATTAGTCTGTATGCACTGTTGAATGACATATGCACCAGGCCGTAATGAATAATAAATTCTGACTGCCAAAGCTTAACATGAGAATTTCTAAAGATTGTTGCATGAATTTGACAAGATATAACCGGGTATAACAAATGACTTGTAATATGTCATGCTCCAGGACATTTGATCCATATGGTGTCCCGAGTAATTCGGCCACAATATCGAGTCTCACCAGCCGCCCACGGACAATTTTGATCCTCAAGCGTCGCAATAGGTCTGGCACTCTCAATGTCTGCTTTCGGTATTCTTGGAGCAGCACGTATGTTACAACCAATCGTCTATGTTCATTCTCTGAAATCGACACAATATCAATACTTTCTGTTGGATTCCCTCACCAAATGTGAAGGGAAACTGTTGACTTCTCCCATTATTCCTTTCTTTAACATGCCTAGTTACTTCTTTCTCGATGCCCACTAGAACTAGTTACGTCGCAAAGCTGCTTTCCAGCAGCGTCCCAATGAAATCTTGTGTTTATCTTCTCATACCGGTTATCCGTTCGAAGAGGACAAACTGGCCTAGTAATTTTGGAGCGCTTACTGGTATTGTCTGCTCCACCATTTCATTTTTCACGTGCCATATCATAAGACAGGAAACTATTTTGAATGGTTGGCTAACGACCCACAGTTGAACAAAAGAATGACGAGTTGTTCAATGAAATTATTTACAGGAGTTAACGTAAACTAAATCCAAATTTGAGGAATAATCACTTTTACCCCTTCAACCATCACCTTAAAATTTTGATTCCAGTTTTTGGTCGCTTCTCACCGAGTATCGACTGTACAGAACACGCCACATTACAAACTGGCTGTCCTTTCTGTTCGCTGTCCTGTTCGTCATAACAATGTTAGGAAGTTTGCTTCTAGTATTACACATCATGTGTCAAACTTTTGAATAATAGGGTTAAATATATAGCAGGCTCTACAACAAAGCCTGAAATAACTAGAATGTAAGTAATGTAAGTGGATGATTACCAGCGAGTGTGTTTATTTCCGAAAGCCTGACGTATGATATATTTATATAGGCCCACAAACCAAAACTATCTCAGTTATAGGGGTAAAGTACTTGGACTACTGCCCGATAGTAAAAATATCATTGGTATTTAGTGGTCTGCAAATGTAGATTCATGTAATAATGATTCCTAAGACATCAGAACCCGTATTACCATCAGAGACAGCTTAGTAACTCACTACAATATTAAAATGAACACAAAACTACCCGCCAATATCACGTACAGTGATCGAAGACAGTATTTGATTTTAAACGTATATTTTTGCTGGCGCACCGATAGTGGGTAAGCGAAGCTGGGAAATCTAATCAAACATACAGAAGGGTATTCATAGTTCAATAGCCAAAAAGGACCCTACGAATCATAAAAAAGTATAGTTCTTGCTTTTCTAGCCCTTGTCTTCCCCAACCACCGACCGCCCCCGAGTGATGGTAGTGTTGTATAGGTACTCCACCAGCGACCCTGTTTGGCAGTGACAGAAGTCCTAATGTCCACTTGGGATAACCACCGTGAATACTAAAACTGCGTTAGACTTGATTTTACTTTACATTTTAAAAGCAGTGTTGTCCATTCTCTTCCAGGTGTGTACTACTTGTCAATGACTGCTACTGATTTGACTCGCCTCAGTTTTATATACTTGCACCTCTTCTTCAACGGTATATCAGATAACACAGACCGTAACTACCTTTTCAAAGGCATCGGTGGAAATTTTCCTTGTTTATGTTTAAAAATGGCATGCATATTTGAGGACATCATCTATATGGCAGTGTTCAAGTAGGTAGTTTCCGATCTGGGTCACATATCTGACTGTTGTGGGAAACATCCCTAATTAATCCAGCTTTGAAACTTTCTTGGGTCACGCATTTTCCCACTGTTATTTGTAAATTGGAATACATTGCAAATGATCTTTGAATGGATGTGGCTGCATAACATACTATCAACACATATCATTTCAAACGTTAATGTCTGTCCGCAAATTCGTTCCATAAGTCTGTAGGTTCCTTTGCAACTATACCGGTTTTCACTTCGCTGATTTTCTGCTGCAATGAACTGACTGGTGAAAGAACTCACAATGGCCTGGGTGGCGACAAAATTATAGTATTATTGACACTTCGTCCATTAACTAACCTCTGTCTCATGCGGTATCTCACAGATTAATGACAGGAAGTTGGTCGTATTCACCTTGTATAATCGCTGCTGGGGTGATGACTGTGACCATCGTATTATCCTATTCGCCAGAATGGTTATTATTTAGCCAAGAAAACCTCTGAATAAACCAGGAATAGAAAGTTATTATGCATGAGAAACTGATGGCAGGAAATATATTACGTTATATCGCTAGTGTAGAATACTGGCAGATGACTGAAATTAAAATTCCGTGCTTTAGCAGTGGCCACTTGAATGATAAGAACTTTACTCCATTCCCACTTTTGCCTTCTGCAATCGTAGTGCGTTATAGTGGCTAAAAGAACTTCGATCAGCTTTTAGTGGTTCCAACTTACTCTTAAGGACTTATATGTGAGAAGCACATGTTTCAGTTACTTGTGAGGAAGTACGATATAGGTCTAGGTGGTTTGATGAGGGCTGTACCCAGTGTCTCATTCTGACAGAAAATTGATAAGTAAGCTGCTTATCATTTCCCTTTTGTCTACTTGAATTTGTCTTAGGTCGCTACACTCAATGTAACTGCTTGCATCTGAAACTAATGCTTAAGTGACTAAAATAACGTCACCCCTTGCAGTCTTTTGATCTATAGACCTCATTAGGCACATGCTTATTATCCGGCATAGACTTCAAAGGCTAACTGTGGAACAGAGGGTGGACAAATGAGGTTCCTGAATGATCCCGCTTTAACTTTGACATTAAATAAGTTGTGTTCCTAGTCGGCGGTGGAGTTTGTTCAATACCACTGAAAAATAGGTGCCAACAAAATTTTCGCACCGAACCCCCAGGGACTAACTTTCTGTTCTGCCTAACAATCACAATTGACCGAAGGATCAAATATGAGAAGTAACGGAAGGAAGAAGCTCAAAGATGAAGTAAACACTAGTACCCAAGCGATGTGTTAAACAAGAAAAGGTAATTCCTGGTTAATGTGCATAGCGAATTCTGGAAACTACAAGAGAAGAGTGGTTTTAAGTAAAAGATAAGTACAGATATAAATTATATACCATTAAGTAGGAAAATGTCCCTCCTTGAGAAAATTTTGTTTTGCGTTTTCAATGCCCCGGTAAATACGGGGTCACTGTGCGTAATACAAATTTTGAAGTTGGTGTGGATTTCCGAGTAAGATGTTCGAAGCCAGGTTAATACAAGCGGATATATGGAAAAAAGTCATAGATGCCATCAAGGATCTTGTCCAGGAAGCAACCCTTGATTGCACTGAAAATGGCATCAGTCTGCAAGCCATGGACAACGCCCACGTGAGCCTGGTGTCATTGCTGATGCGTAGCGACGGTTTCGAAACCTACCGATGTGATAGAAATCTGTCGTTGGGCCTTAATATTACTAGGTAATTGCTTAGGTATATCTAATTGTTCTTAGCGCATCTAAGATCTTACGCTGCGCTAGTGGTACTGATGCAGTAACACTGAGAGCCGAAGATAAGGCCGATACGTTGACATTCGTATTTGAATCCAAAAGTAAGTTTACACTTCGTCTTATTCTGTTGTTAGACCAAGAAAAGTCGTCTGAATTCGAGATAAAGCTGATGGATCTAGATACTGACCACTTGGGCATACCTGTAAGTCACTCCTTGTGTAATTCGACTTTCTTCAGGACACCGATTATAAGTGTATTATACGAATGCCGTCTGCCCAATTACAAAGAATATGCCGCGATTTAAGTCAAATAGGTGATTCCGTTGTAATATCAGTGGCAAAGGATGGTGTGTCGTTCAGCTCGACTGGTGATCTCGGCACAGGAAACATTAAAGTCTGCCAGTCATCCAACTGCGACAAGCCTGAGGAGTCAGTCACAATTGAGATGCATGAGGCTGTAAGCATGACGTATTCTCTGCATTATTTCAACATATTCACGAAAGCTGCTCCACTGTGTCCTCAGGTTGTATTATCTCTGACGGAGAACGTACCAGCAGGTGAGTTTGCAATTGACTTGCTTACTTTGTAGTTGTTGAGTTCGGTATTGAAGACCTGGGATACGTACGTTACTATTTGGCACCGAAGATTGAAGATGATGCTGATTAAGACTGGCTGACTGCATTATTATATTCTATTTTCATACGTACTGTGCTTCTTGCTAAGTGTAAGATTTCAATATAATTTTTGTACATACCAATTCCCTTTGTTTTCGTCGTTTTAAAGTCTTCAAAGTGAAAGAGACCGGAGAGTGTGTCCTTGTGAATGTTACGCGGTAGCGAACTACTTGTCTATCAAATCCTCAGTTCTCTTATGTGTTTTCATGTCATATGGATTGTCGCCTAGAAATTTAGAGGGATGCCCTACATCATTTTTAGCTTTGATTTAACGGATTATTTTGTTTCTGGATCATTATTCTCTGTGTAGTCCATCTTACCTGACTCTTGTTAGATTATTTGCTTCCCATCCCTTGGTTATATTAACAGAGGTTCCAACTGTCACTTCCTTTTCACGTTTCATTGCTTTTTTCATAGTGATTACGTGGTCTGTCGAACTGCCTGTTTCTTCCATCTCATCCTAACCTCTGGATTGTGTTGTAGATGCGGACATTGTTCTGGTTATATTCAGTAAACATACTAATTGGTATCTTCAGTTAACATTCTGGTTTCAGTGAAGTCCATTATACATCATTTATCCATCATTCGGACTTAGTGGCATGGCATCACTTACGCATGTTTTTCTAACATCCGAAGTAAATCCAAGTGGAAGGTACTACAGACATACATTCCTACCTCTTCATTAATTTGCTTCAGTAAAATCTTATTGATTCTTAGAGATTTACTGATGTTAAGGTGAATATATATGAGTTTTAAACTATTTCATAGACACGTGTAAAGTCGCTGTAATGGTGATTAGTTTGTCATCACGACGTTTCACGAATGGCGTTAATTTACCGTGTGTCTTTCTTTTTGTCACAAAATATTTGACGCAAACCTTTCATAACATAGCAGCCAAGTAAAATACATATAGGCATATCTCATCATATCCGGATTTAATTGCTTGCCAGCATGTTCTAGTGTGATTGATTTTGACTTTTCATACTTCAGTTAATATTGCTTGTTTAAAGTACTCATTAGTCTTCATTTGATTATTATCTTGCTGATACGTAAATCCATCCATTTTAGTAATATTACGCTTTGACTTATTTGTTGTGCTTTCCTGAAACAGTGTTGTTAACTAGCAAACATTTCTGGGAACAGCTACATTAGTTTATCAGTCAGGAATGTCTTAAAAAGCACTTGAAAGTGCATGTTCGTCAATCTAAATATTATTCCTTGTAGTACACCCCCTCATAGGCAGGTTATTCATCCTTACCTAATGTAGTGACCTGGACCTCATGCGATGTGAGACTAGTCGTGTAACTAATTAAATTTCAAGAAAGATTGGGAATGCATAGTCATCCAGGGGTTGAGGATTTCATTACACCCGTACATTGTATTTGATAGCAATTGGCGTACTAAGCTTTTGACGGTTGTTTAAGACATATTGTTGATTGTGAGATTTTGAAGACTTATGAAGTGATTCATAATGATCCAAAGAGAATAATAGGTAGCTGCGTAGTGTGAGTGCTGTTGAACATGCGAAAGGTGGTTTGTGACCATTTATTGAGGGTGGTTTACCTCTTCACTGTCAAAGGTTTGGTCTACAATGCCCTGGTGCGTTAGGCTGTGATCTGCACCTGTGGAACTTAGTCTCTGTGGCATGCTGATGTTGGCATTAATAACATGGAAATGTTTCTAAGGTTTGGCAATGGAAAGAATTGTAACTGTCTTCAGTGGTTTGGACATAAGTTATTGATGTTCTCTCAGTGGCCTTCACACCGTACGTTGCTTAGAAGCTACAGGAATGGTTAGAAGTGGGTACACTGTGGTCCCTTAGGCTAAAGGAAACCTGGTGAATAGGCATTTGCGGGCTTGGGTTCCAGGTTATCTGACTGATTAATGCGAAATATTATCAAACGGCTCAGAAATGGAGTCATTTGCTCTGTTGCTACAAATGTTCTTCCCGTCACCAGAACAAATGTGTGCTATGGCAAACCAATACCCTACCAGTCAGGACTAAGTATTTTCGTATACTTATTCTGGAATAATTTGAAGCATCTGGGTTTTCGGTTCCGACAGGCGGTAGGATTCAAATGTGGTATTTCGCAAAATGTTCCGAACTTTTTTAAGCAAACGGAGGGTTTATTTATGTTGGTTAGCACACGAGGTTGTCTGTAAGGATGAGTCCGCATCACTGGCAACTGACACTGTTCACCACTCAGAATGAGGAAGCTGCAAGTTTAAAGCCTAATTACTTACGACGTCATCATGATCTCCAGCCGGTTGGTTATACTCCCGGTCTGAAGAGACTTCTTCATCTAGAATTAAGCAAGCTTGTGGATGCAGTGTGCCAGCTACTCTATTTTCCCAATTGCTACCAGGGAATAATCTCGTTGACTTAGAATATGCAGACGATATAGTCCTTCTAGGCGAGGACGCTGGCGAAATCCAGCAGAGTCTTCCGAACACCTTGAGCTGCAATCTACGAATGTTTGGCATACGAGTCGCTCCCGCCAAATGCAAGATGATGTTACAGGACTGGACTACAGCGACGCCTAGTTTAAAAATAGGAAGTGAAGTGGTAGAGCACGTTGACCGCTTCACTTATTTGGGAAGTACCATCAGCCCCAACGGGTTGATCTCTGAAGAAATCTCAATACGGATACAGAGGGCTAGTTTTGCATTTGCCAGTTTACGCCGTCTCTGGCGTAGGCGTGATATCCAGCTGGCTATTGACCAAAAGGCGGGTGTACTGCTCATCAGTCCGCTCCGTCCTCCTTTATGGCTGTGAGCGAGACATGGCCATTGAGAGTGGAAGACATGAAAAGATTAGCTGTTTTTGATCATAGGTGCCTGCGTTCTATCTCCCGTGTGAAGTGGCATAATAAGGTGAGCAATATTGAGGTTAGGCGTCAAGTGCTAGGTAAACAGGGGAAATCAATCGACGAAGTTGTGAAGTTACAAAGACTGAGATGGTTAGGACATGTGTTACGTATGCCAAGCCATCGCCTTCCTCGACGAGCAATGTTAGCTGACATAGGGTCAGGCTGGAAAAGAGCTAGCGGCGGTCAAACAAAAACATGGCACCAGACAATGAGATCCACAATAGTTAGTCTAAGCCACGCTGGAAGGTATAGGCTTCCTGACTGGTTGAGGTCCTCGGGACGGTAAAAACCAATGGTTGGAAACAATTGGTCATATAGCTCAAAATCGTTCTCAATGGCTAACGCAGATGCATCCACTCCTTGTGACTTATGATTTCCAATGAAACCGTTCTGTTCTTCGTTAATACTATTCCTTTGTCTCACACCTCTGTTTACTGTCTCTAATATGCATTTCTTCTATCTTCCTCTCTTGCTTTGTGTGCTCTACGGAGTGTGGCGACTTGAACTACCGCACATATGTGCAAAGTTCTATGTCGAAAACAGACAGACATTTTCCCCATAATGACACTTTGTTTGCTACAGGTTCGTGACTATGTAACTGCAGTTAACTCCTTTGATCGTTAACCTGAGTTATTCTACAGCATTGAATACTTCTTCGTGCATAACCTGAAAGACCTATTGAGAGAAGATGATTAAAAATAGTGATAACTAACACTTAGGAACGAAACCATTAAGTTGATTCTGTATTCGGATAATGGTTTTAAAAATAAATAAGGGGAGTTCTGTTGAAATTATGGGAGAATAAATTAGAAGTGGATAATAATAAGGCTGTTTTCGCCATAGAACTTTGCATCGATGTGCAGCAGTTTGAGTCGCCATACTCCCTCCTTGTAGCACACAAAGCAAGAGAAGAAGGTAGAAGATATGCAAAATAGAGACAGTAAACAGAGATATGAGAAAAAAGGAATAGCAATAACGAGGAGAAATACAGTTTCATTGGAAATTATAAGTTACAAGGGGTGGATGCATCTGCGCCATTGAGAACCGTTTTGAGTCATATCAGCGATTGCCTACAGCCATTGGTTTTCACCGTCCCGAGGACCCCAACCAGGAAGTCTACACCTTCCTATATGGCTCGGTTTCATAACTGAAGTAAAAGAAGTAAATGGGTTGTCAGATATACACTTCTGACTAATCAAATTTTGAGGTGTTCTTTTTTTGATTCAAATACAAACGCCTTAGAAAGGTTGATAAATGTAAGTGTTCGGAGTAGAAATTCACTAAAAAATTGTCATTGGAATAATTCTGCCTACTACAAGATAGATTTCGGTTACGGATTTTCTAAGGACGATAGAAATGATTAAGAGTTCGGACTTCAAATAGGTGTGTATATATTTGCGTAGGTCAAGTTATTTAGTGAAAAAGACTGGAGGACAGTAAAGTGTTTTTCACGATGCCCGCTCATAGCTGTAATTCGAGTTACATTTTTCGTCTCTCACTTGTCGTCATATAGATTATTGCTTCAGTTGAAATTTGTAATTTTCTGTACTATGTGAACCTGTACCGATTGAGATGACTAGGACACGTTGCGCACGCGAAGTCACTACCTTTGACGAGCAGCGTTTTCCGACGTTGGAGGAGGGTTAAGTATGGTCAAACCGAAACTGGGCATCAGTCCATGAAGACTGGACAGTTGATCTGAGCCAGATGAGGGGGGTGTAAAAGCTGCCTTGGTCGGGTCCCCGAGATGCTCTCTGGAAACTATTGATGAGATGACTGAAAATCGTTCTCTGGTTCAGATGCATTCAATCTTAGTAATCTGTCATATCCACTAAACCGTCATACGTTTTTCCACACTACTGTTCTTTCTCCCTCACGTTTCTGTTGATTGTGGTCATTTTGAATCTCCTTTCCTCTTTTGTCTACCGTTGTGTGATGCGCGGAGTGTGGCAACTTTCACAACGCAAAGTTTTGCGTTGAAATTCAGTTAGCTAATTATCATGTATGCGTGCAATGATCAGTTCTCAAACCATCCTATTATTTATGTTTTGTGCAGTGGTCTTATCTTGTTTCTTATAGTAACGGTGGTTGGGTAAGACGGGGAGTATGACTCATGAGATTC